TGTAATACATTTTACTGTTTTGAAACACTAATATTTGAGTTCAGTGAAGTCTCCCGAGAAAAACAGTACCTCCCATGTAGAGGTTTTATGGTGTCTTGAAAGTTATTAAATTCCCTATACTTTCGGCCTGGGTTGTCAAGCAGGTCCAGCAAATTTTAATTAATAAAATGACCTAATTATGTAAAAATATTGCAGAAATATATACGTAGAATTAATATATATGTATATATATATATATATATATATATATAGCAAAATATATTTCAGATAGCACTCCCAGGACTTCGAAAAAGTGTAAAACTTAACTTTTAATAAACTTTACAGATAAATCGACATTTCAGTCTTTTACCAAAACTCGCGCGTGTTCCGCCGACGTCAGCGTGTGCGTACGTGACGTCACTATGTGGCGTCGACGTCATTACCACATTACGTGATCGGCCGTAAGACGACCTCATTGGGAGTTTGTTGCTATGGAGAATAGTTGTCCATAGCAACTTAATTAAAATAAAATACAAAAACTCAATACCTGGAAAGGAACAATGTATGATTATTAACCACTGACTAATGTTTAGCCTAATTGCTAAAGCATATACCAATAAATGAGATTTAGAAACATGATGATTTTAACCATAATATCAGAAACAAATCCAATTTCTTAAATAGTAAAAATATATACAGAGAAAATACAATAAATGGTATATATGTATATAAAAACTGGCAAATAGAGAAGAAAGTAAGTAAACAATATATTTCATGATCATAAATAATAGATAAAATATAATTCTGAATATATCTAGCGAAAATAACATGGTATTTACCCCGAAGGAGACATCATACAAGAGATTAACTGACTGCTATATTAATAATAAATCACCACATTGATGGAATTAAACATTACAGAAAACAAAATATCCGACTAGAAAAGAAATATAAACGATAACAATTTAAAGTGGTATCATCCTCCTAAATACATCTATAAAAAAGTATATATCAAAAAGGCTACCACTTAATTTGGCAGAGAATACAAATAATATAAAGCCTGAATAGGTAATGGACAGTCATATTAAACCACCCAATGAAAGGCAGCTGCCCTTAATCTAACCTGTGACAGCAAGAGAAACTAGACCAAGATTACCATGTCCAAAAGGAAAACCTCAGTACAGAATCCACTCAAATAATTATATCCATGAAACATGATACCAGAAGATAAACGATAGGTCCCTAAATGAATTACAGTCTATTGAAAAAATAGCCAATAACAGGACCTAAAATAATATCTACGATCTAATATGGTGCAAACCTTCCAAGCAACCAAACTAAGGCGTGGACCATTGATAATATCAAGGATACAATAAGATAAATCATAATGCAAGAAATAATACCCAGAAAGTAAAAATAGTATACTACCATCATATACGGGGCATCGTGGGTGCATGCCTCTCCCCCAGGGTGGGCATCACTTCCCCAACTCCATGGCATCAGGTCACATGAGAATATCCTTTTTACAATATATACAATGGACATACATAGATCTTAACACCAATAGATGTGCACACGTTGGGCCTGAAGGTTAATAGAGTAAACCACCTCTAACGTAGGTAATGACATCATACTGAGTATGATTACTAATTAATAAAATGACCTAATTATGTAAAAATATTGCATAAATATATACGTAGAATTAATATATATATATTTTTTTAAATGATTTTTATTTATATATAGGTATATATATTGGGATATATACATATATACTTATGTATATAGATATATATATATATATATATATATTATTTTGTTCTACGTGTATTTTGATAGCAATATATATATTAATATTAAAATACAGTTAGAACGATTACACACATATATGAATATATATTTTTTTAATTTTCATTTTTTAACGTATTTACATATTTTTTTCTATTATATATAAATATATATATATAATTATATATATTTAATCAATATCATTCTACGTGTATTTTAAAATTAATATATATATATATATATATATAAAATACACACATGCGTGTATGTGTTAATGTGTGTATATATATATATATATATATATATATACTTAGATCATGTATATAATATATATATATATATATATATATGATCTAAGTATATATTATTTAATTTTTAACTGTTATTAACTTTTATTTGTCATTCCAGGCAGTCGCCCTGCTGGCAATGCTGTGGACGGCTATGCCGTCCATGTGATCGTGAGGTCCTCGCAAGGACCTCGCAATCACATGGCCCAGGAGGGCTGGATCGGAACCAGGGGGACTCCCTGGGATGCCAGGTGAGTCTCCCCATCGTGATCGCAGGCGTGGGAATCGCCAGCGACTGGGTAAGTACATGGGACGGCGGGGACATTCTATGCCACCCACCAGTAGAACGCCGTCCGTCCTTAAGGGGTTAAAATGAGCATCCTATATAGAAATTATAAAAAGTAGATTTTATGTAATTATAAAAAGTAGTGTGATGTTAGCTTTAAGGGGGCACCAAGATGGCCGCCACATAGATTGGTAAATCGGTACAAATATGGCCGACGCCGTCTAAAACATATTGGTCAGCGTAGGGAAATAACTGATAGTTGCTGTAAATAGTGTGGCCTGGGAGAGTGGGAGGTGGTGAAGTGGTGGAAACCACTCCCCGCCTTAAACAAGTGTTTCAGCTGTGACCACTCCCCAAAAATTGCTTGTTTTTTGCAAGCCCTCTTATTAACTTATTAGATGATTTCTCATCTTATGGAAAAGTGTCATCTTTTCACATCTTAGTGTCACTAAAAGTTTGCCAAACATAAACATCAACATTACATATATTATGAATCCACTTTAACCCCTTAAGGACGGAGCCAAATGTACACGTTGTGAACGAAACAAAATGTAAACAAAACCTGGCATTTGCGCTACATGTCTGTCCAACCGTAATTCACCTCTTTCATATTAAATGCACCCACCCTTATTATATATCATTTTATTCAGGGGAAACAGGGCTTTCATTTAATATCAAATATTTAGCTATGAAACATAATTTAATATGAAAAAAATTGGAGAAAATAAGATTTTGATTTGTTTAGTTCTACATGACATTTTAACGGTCAATGTCATAATACTGTTTTCTTTTACTGCAATAAAATACACATATTTGTATTCAGCAAAGTCTCACGTGTAAAACAGTACCCCCTATGTACAGGTTTTATGGCGTTTTGGGAAGTTACAGGGTCAAATATAGCACGTTACATTTGAAATTGAAATTCGCCAGATTGGTTACGTTGCCTTTGGGACTTTATAGTAGCCCAGGAATGGAATTTACACCCATAATGGCATACCATTTGCAATAGTAGACAACCCAAGGTATTGCAAATGGGGTATGTCCAGTTTTTTTAGTAGCCATTTGGCCACAAACACTGGGCAAAGTTAGCGTTAGTATTTGTTTGTGTGAAAAACGCAAAAACCGCCAATTTTGGCCAGTGTTTGTGACTAAGTGGCTACTAAAAAAGACTGGACATACCCCGTTTGCAATACCTTGGGTTGTCTACTATTGCAAATGGTATGCCATCATAGGGGTAATTTTCATTCTTGGGCTACCATAGGGTCTCAAAGGCAACGTAACCAATCTGGCGAATTTTAATGTGAAAAAATGAAACGCAAGCCTTATATTTGGCGCTGTAACTTTTGAAAACACCATAAAACCTGTACATGAGGGGTACTGTTGTACTCGGGAGACTTCGCTGAACACAAATATTTGTGTTTCAAAACAGTAAAAAGTATCACAGCAATAATATCGTCCGTGTAAGTGCTGTTTGTGCATGAAAAATGCAAAAAACTTCACTTTTACTGGCGATATCATCGTTGTAATACATTTTACTGTTTTGAAACACTAATATTTGTGTTCAGCGAAGTCTCCCGAGTAGAACAGTACCCCCCATGTACAGGTTTTATGGTGTCTTGGAAAGTTATAGAGTTAAATATAGTGCTAGCAAATTAAATTCCCTTTACTTTCGGCATGGGTTGTCAGGCAGGTCCCGCTAATTGTAATTAATTAAGATACCCAATTATGTAAACTTATCACATAAGTATATATGTAGAATTAATATATGTATATATATATATATATATATATATATATATATATACGTATGTGAATATACATGTATATATATATATATATATAATTTTTTAAAAATATTTTTATTTATATATAGGTATATATATATAGTGATATATACGTATATATTTATGTATATAGATATATATATTATTTCATTCTACGTGTATTTTGATATATATATATATTAATATCACAAAACAGTTAGAACGAAATAACACACATCTATATATTTTTTAATTATTATGATCCTGAGATCATGCCTTGTTCCACCAGTATTCGTAATTTCTTCAAAAAAGAGGTGGTAGGGTCATAAGTAATCAATTGATATGTGACACTGTCACTAAGTTGATTCAGGATTTCCAACCTGTAATCAACATAATTTTGAATCACTATAGCGCCTCCTTTATCCGCTGGTCTGATGGTAATCGTATGGTCATTCTTAAGATCTAATAGTGCTGCTTTCTCGCCAGTTGTCATATTTTCACCAATGGGTTTGTGTTTAAGAAGAGTCTGATCTATATCATGACGAATTAATTGTCCAAATGTCTTAATGGAGGCATGTGTGTTTTTCGGTTCCCATATGTTTTTCCGTTTAAATGGGTGTTTTTCCTTGTTTCCCCATTGATCCCGTGAGATATTTAGATTAAGTGTCCGATTAATCTTGAATAATTCCACATCCAATGCGAACCTGTCCGGTCCAGAAAATGGTATAAAGGTCAATCCCTTAGACAATATATTGACGTGATCTATTGTTAACTGTTTAGTTGACAAATTGAATATAGGGTTCATTTCTTCTTTATTGGTGGTTTGGATCTGAGTCTTATAGATCCTGCCCCTTTGTCCCCGTCTTATGGGTCTGTATCTATATTTGTTCTTATTACCGGTGTTGATGATGGTGGGTCGTTGGGATGTTGTCCCCCACCTAAAAAATGTTGTGAAGAATCATATCTCATCTGTGTTCCAGATCGTTTCACAGCATCTGTGCTCTCAGCTTCAGACATGGATTCTGCAGAACTTGTGTCAATAGACATGAATTGTGGCTTCCTAATCTTGGTTTTCTGACGTAGAAATTGAGGTCTCCGTCTCTCTCCACCACTTAACCAGTGGTATACTTGATGATGCGTGTAATCATAATTGACCTTTTCAAGTTTTTGCTTCTTAAATTTTATCAGATCATTTCTATACCGCATAATCTCGTCCTGTAACTTAATCATTTGTTGTGCAGAGGCGGATGCCGTTATCAAGGGTGTGTTCGAAGTTTCCACTTTATTAATGGATTCTTTAACTACCACCAATTCATTCTTAACTTTCTCTACTGTAATAATCATCCAGTCTAAAGAACATTTGTTGGCTATACTGGCCCATTTACAGCAGAATTCAGGGTTCTGTCTATCGATAGTTGGTGCATTACGCACCCTGAATCCTCTAGGGATCCTTTTGGATCTATAGTAATCGGAGATGAATATCCCATGTAGATCCAGATCTACTTCTCTCCTTTTTAACTTAATAAGTTCATTGTATACATCCCTGATAGAATCAACATGTTTTAATTCATCAGTGCTTTTCGGCCAGAGGATATTTTCAGCCTCTGCTTCTGAGATCTGTAGTACCTCAGCCGTGTCTGCTAGAGCACCAGCCCTGGATAAAAAATCCTCCATGAAAAAAATCCTTGATAAATGATCAGCGGGAATCAGTAACACATAACCGATGATAGTAAAAAGTATTTACAATGTGGTGGTGCTAACAGAGAGTGTGTGGCAAACACACTGAAAATACAGCAGTCCAGACTCTGGCACTCAACCCCAAACGAACAAAAATAGTAATGTTACCAGGGTGCCTCCAGGCCAGTAAATATAAAGGTAAAAACAGGAGCACTCACTTGGATTTTTCAAACGTGTATTGACAATCTTAACACAAATCTACATCAACGTTTCGACCCTTCAGGGTCTTTATCAAGATAGTGATAGTGCACATGGAATACAAATATATACACCATATTAATTGATGAACTTACCCCACCTGTGTGAAATGATTCCCCATCATTGGTAAGTGAAAAAACCGGACGGGATGCGTGCATAGAGACCTGAACGCGTACATAGTGACGTTCAAACGTGCGTGCGTAGTATTTTGATATATATATTAATATCACAAAACAGCTAGAACGAAATAACACACATCTATATATTATTAATTATTATTTTTTTATTATTATTTTTATTTTATTTTTTAACGTATTTACATATTTAATTTTTTTATATTATATATAAATATATATATAACAATAATTATATATATATATATATTTAATCAGTATCATTCTACGTGTAATTGAATATTAATATATATATATATATATATATATATATATATATATATATACAATTATATATATATTAAGAGTAAAATACACCTAGACAGTGTATGTGTGTGTATGTATATGTGTATATATATATATACTTAGATCATATATATATACTTATATATAATCTAAGTATATATTATAATTTTTTTACACTGATTAACTTTTATTTATTTTATTTTCAGCCAGCAGGGGGACCACCTGTCATTACAGGCAGCCCCCCTGCTGGCAATGCAGGAGGCAGCTACCCCCGGCCATGTGATTGTGGGGTCCTCGCAAGGACTTCACTCTCACATGGCCGGGGGACTTCCAGTGGGACGGACGTACCGCGAGGGGCTCCCTGGGAATCCCCCCAACCGCGATCGCCGGCGTGGGATCACCGGCGACCGGGTAAGTACAGAAAGACCGGAGGGCGTACTATGACGCCCGGCGGCATTTAGAGCCGCTTAAAATAGGGTGTAATAGTACGCCCTCCGGTCTTAAGGGGTTAAATGGACCCAAAGCAAAAAGAAGCACATTGTTTAAGGATATAAGATAAGAAGGGCTGACCATCTTTAATTCTTGCACAAGGATCTGCAAGCAAGTATAAACCTACTAGGTAAGTTTGAAACTGTAGAGTCTTTCCACTTTGTAATTAAAACACGTGCAAAAAACAATCACTATCAGCATCATTTCATTCTGTAGGAACTAGGCTGTACCTTACTTCCAGCTCAAATACATTTTACATTTGTCAAACTGCTTTAAAGGAACATTCCCGACCCCTAAAACACTGTAGCTTGCTAAAAAAAAAAAGTTCATGTGTGAAGACTGTGTCCTCTTTTTTCATTTTGCAAAAAGTGCAGATCTTAATAGAAATTGACATTTTTATAAATTAACCTGTTTACACCCCACTGGCTTTCAAGCAGACAATAGAGTCTGTTACTTCCTGGTTTGATTAGCTCTATGGAAATTAACTCAAGTGGCAGCAATTGCCCAGAGCACCTGACTTGCAAAGACTTCTCATTGAGCTGCATTAGGAAGTCTGTGATTGCATAGTCACAGTAATTCATGGTAGGATTAATAAGGGAGGGCTTGCAAAAGCTGCAAACAAGAGTGATACAGGTTTTGTGAGCGATTTTTAGATATGACCCCAATGATATGACAGGGCTTCTCTAATCTTTCTTTAGGTTTGGCTTCTTTGGTGGTCAAGCCTCTGTACAGCAGCTGCTGGTGGTCCTATGCTCAGCTTTTGGACTTTTTATACTTTGTTCACTCACAGCCTTTTTCTTTTCTTCCATTTTTCACATGCTTGGACCAATACAGCATACATGAGGACTGCTGTTTTAATATATTGCCATATGTATTTTCTTTTTTTAACTTCAATAAAGGTGAATTTTTCTATGATTTCTTCCTAAAGTATTTTTGGGATTCCCTTTGAGTGTGGATCAACAAACTTGTCCTTTATAAAGTATCAAATTCCCAGAGCACCTAACTTGCAAAGTCTTCTCATTGAGCTGCATTAGGAAGTCTGTGATTGGATAGCCACAGTAATTCATGGTAGGATTAATATAGGAGGGCTTGCAAAAGCTCAAACAAGAGCGATACAGGTTTTGCAAGAGATTTTTAGACATGACCCCAATAAAAAAATGCATAATTAAAAGCATGCTTTTTGTGAACACCAGCTCTTACATAAAGTTTATATCAATTGCATATACAGAGTCTAATACAAAGAGAAGAACAGAACAAAAAGTCTCAACTACCGACCTATACCCACTTTGTTTTTATTAGTTGTTTTCCTAACTCATTACCATTTAGGGTATAAGTTGCTTGTTGTCTTAACATCTACTGCAATCTATCTTAAAGCCAATGTTGTACAATCAAAGAACATGAACTGTCATCTAAACTGATTGCTTTAAATTTGTAATAGGTGGATGAGTTTAGAACTCCCAGAGATTATTCCAACTATGGTATTCTAGATTATCTTTAGAAAAGATATGAGATTTTTTATGGAAATAAAGTTTTTTTATTTTGTTTATAGAATAAAAAAAAGTACAAAGAGAAGTGGTGTGGGTTAACTCACAGGTTTATGCAGTTTCAACAATTTGTCACAGTCTGTAGCATTATAACAGAAACAACACAGCAAATGAGGGTATTACATTATTACAATGCTCGTTTAAAACATTACATCGGCCCTATTCTCTAGCCGGTAGTCGGGAAGTGGGAACAGGCTCATCTATCTAGGGATCCGAGCTGGAGAGACCAGTTTGCTCTGCCGCATTGTCAGTGCAGGGGTCGACTTGATTGTATTAGTGATGGTATTATAAATTACTTGTCTTTTTTGTGTCGTACTTTTGATAATGGTTTCAATAAAATATTCATGGTTAAAGGGACAGTGTAGGGACTGCAACTGCTTCATCTCATTAAAGTGGTTATAGTGTCTATAGTCTATGCTTCTTGGGCTAATGAATATGCACGAGATTAAGCAGCAATAAGTGGCGGTAATTGTTTGAGAGCCTCAGCTGACCACTTTTAGCCTATCACAGTCATATTTTGATGGCATAAATTGAGGGACAATGCCAGAGGTTTCCAGGCACTAAAATCAATTAAGTGAGATGAAATGTTTGTAGTGCCTAAATTGTCCCTTTAAAAGTTAGAAATCTCCTAATTACCTGTAAGACACATATTGGTAATTGATGATGCACTTAACCCAACATTAAGCACAGGGACAGACAGCTTTATGAGACCCCCACAAAATTAGACTCTGGGTCCCCTGAAGGCCGCTACATATGGTCCAGCCATGGATTTACTCCAGTTATAAAGGTTGTCTAACTGTCACCTGAAAAAAGGGGAAGTAGGGGTATATGTGGGCTATTGTACTTGTTTTAGGTGGCAGTTACCCAACCTACTTGGGACTTATTCACTTTAGCTTCCAGAGAATGTTTTTTTACTTTGTTTGCCACAACCTGTTCTGATCACGTAATGCAGGTCATGGTGTCATAGGGCTTTTCCCACATGGAGACAGTTTGGCCTCAAACCACTCTCATTTCCTTAGCTTGCTTGGGGATTTTAGGTCCCTCCCATCTCCTTCCTGTTCCTATATTCAGTTTCATGATACCATGCCCACATCAAACATTTCTAATGTTTTGATAAAGAGGGGAATAAAGAGGGGAGATGATTAACCTTTCCCCTCTCAATATATTTGCTATTTGTTCATTATGTGTTGTTTATATGTTAATTATTATTAAGTCATGTGACTATGATGTAATGTGACCATTTTTTCCCCTACAATTTGTACATAGCTATGTAAACTGTGAAGGTCCTCATGTATGTAACACTTTTTAAAAAGCCAGTAATTAGTGGTGAAATACATTAGTGTGTTACTTTTACTTAGTAATTCCTCTTATTCTTGGACCTTCCTGCATCTTATTATCCTGACGTTTCGGTTATCGTTTTTCATGGTGGGGAATATACTAAAAACGTTATGATGAATGAGCAGAACAATATTTGCTGCATTACAGTGAGTGAGTACATTTCTTTAATATTTGCTAATTTTATCAAACAGTGAGCACTCCACACAGGCTGAACTGTCGGAGAACAGAGCTTCAGCAAAGGCTGAGTATCAGGTTAGGGAATTCGGTGAACTTTCCTGCTGGTATATTGCTTCTTAACAGCAGATGGGCCTCTTAGAGCCTCGGTTGCCCTTTCTATGACCATACTGCCCAAATTTTCATTCTATCTATGAATATGCATATTAAAGATACCTGTGGATTAGGGAATAAGGAGAGTAATCAAGAGGAAATACTTTGGTTTTTCACTTTTGACTTACCTTATATATTACACTTCCTCCTATTA